AATCCAGAATGGTCGTTCTACATTCAGGGCGGACGCGATCATGCCTCCCCATAGATACCTTTTTCTTTATTATCTGTGGATAGCCATGACGTATTAGGAAAGGTAATGGAGTGATTTTCCCGCTTTTATTTCAAGTATCCTCTTCGCCTGACTGACACTCAAGGCTAGAAAAACAAACCGGTGCAATAGTATAGCGATTAATGCAGACCCAAACTTCTTTATTTTATTATTTTCAGCTCATGTCTATGTCAGAATTTTCACATAATATTTTGGAGTTTATATTTGCTGTCTTGTCAATTCTGTTGTATCTTCAGGCAAACATAACCAGCTTTTTTTCCATCTCCCTTCTGTCTTCTGCACGCTTCAGTTGCTTTGTTAGCAGATCGGACACAATCCTCAATTTTGACAATCCTTTACCACCCTCCGAACATTAACACTAGTAGTATCTAGTGGCACCCCTTCGACGTCATGGGGCATGTCTTTTCCAAACTTCATACTGATAGCAGACACGGAAAAGAAATTACAAAATTTCCTACAGAAGGTAGCAACGGTGAGTGAGAAGAAGGGACGAAGCATAAACTATACGAAGACAGAATGCATGGGCATCAGTAAAAGGATGAGCCCGAAATAGGATCTGAAGGTCGGGAATTCTAGAATCAAGCAGACGAGGAGGTTTAAAGATCTGGGAAGCGTTTTGACAGAGGACGGTAAGTGCGACACTGAGATCCGTAGATGTATTGGGATGGCCAAGGACGCATTCCAAAAGCTGGGCAGAGTACTTCGAGACAGGAGAATTTCTTTGATAACACAGAAAAGAATGCCGAGCTGTTACGCGACATCTTTATGCCAGCGAATGTTGGACGATTTCCTCAATGAATAAGAAGAGATTCGAGGCGACGGAGATGTGGTTCTACAGAAGGATGCTAAGGATATCATAATACTCATAGTAATAATAATGACGAAGAAAAGAATACTGAAATATTACGTGACATCTGCCCTTCTTTACGGCAGCGAATGTTGAACGATTTCCTCAATGAAGAAGAAGAAAGTCGAGGCGACGGAGATGTGGTTCTACAGAAGGATGCTGAGGATAACATGGACCGAGTATTTGAGCAACGATTAGGTCTTAGAGATTTTACAAAGAAGGAGAAAGCCTACACTTAACCTCAGAAAGAGGCAGCTGAAGTTTTTGGGGCACATAATGAGGAAGGAGGGCCTGGAGAATCTGATACTCACGGGTCGAATAAAAAGAGAGAGACAAGGGAAAGCAACACGTGACATACCTGACGAGCTTGAGTAGTTGGATGACAGAACGTGACCTGGGGAAGGAAGCAGAGGGGAGAAGCTTGCCGAGAGCTACAAGGGATAGAGGGGGGTGGAGAGCCATGATTGCCCACGTCCTGAAAGGACATGGCACATAAAAAAAAAAGATGTGGATGATGCAAACAAGAAGGAGGCTTATATTTAACATTAGGAAGAGGCAGCTGAATTTCCTGGGACATATAATAAGGAAGGAGGGCCTGGAGAATCTGATACTCACGGGTCGAATAGAGGGAAAGAGAGACAAAGGAAAACAACGCATGACATACCTAGCGGCCTTAAGCAAGTGGATGACAGAACGTGATCAAGAGAGGTGGCAGAGGGAAAGGTTGATAGCTGCAAGGGATAGAGGGAGGTGGAGAGAGCCATGATCGCCTACGTCCTTAAAGGACACGGCACATAGAAAGAAAAAGATCACCCTGCCCAGTATCTAGTGAGAGAAAGTGAAACTGGCGTATAAATAAAGTTGAATATACGCATTATATGTGCTTATCAAACTCTCTGCCTTCGGACAGAGAGGCACGCAGATTAAGCTATACGAAAGGGCAGAGTCTCGTCTGGGGTAGTAGACAGCTACCCAACCCCGTTTTTACGGGTTCTACAGGGAATATTTTACCGAGTCTACGGGCTCGTACACGCCACAATAAATTTGGCCTTGTGTCGTATCCGGCCGCGTGGGGCGGTTAGTGAATATCTCACTATACGGATTACTTCGGAAGTGTGCTGGTCGAACTCTGTCTTCGGACAGAAAGGGGCCCAGACGAGGGTGTGCCGAAGGGCAAAATATCGTTTGGGGTGGGACGGTTACTGAATATTATCCCTATATTAATTGCTATTCGGATCACTATTCAGTGATTACTTTCCGAGCGAGCATTATCGAGCAAGTACTATTAGTGCAAGTGTTATTCGAAGGCGTCTGACACCAGTATTGTTCAACGGCGTTACTATAGTTGTATCTGCAATTACAAAGTCTCTACTACAACGAGCTTTATGAAAGTGACAACGAGTATTCGTTGGCATCCCAAGAGTGTCAACGAGTGTTCGTTGACATCACAAAAAAAAAAAAAAAAAACTTACATCGTTGACTTGCGTGTCACACTTTGTTGACTGTTGAGGTTTTGTCCACAAATGTAGGCCTTAAAAATAGAGGATAAAAAATTGCAGGCTTGCCTTGTTTTGCTCTATGAATTTCGGAAACTAGTCATCGTCGGAACTGCGACGATGAACATTTAGAAGCTTTGTTAGGCTGATCGAACTGTAACTGATCGGGTGGTCAAAATGGGGTTTCGCATAATTCGTCAGGGTGATTTTAACTTAAACGATCAACCAAGGTCAGGGTGACTTTCCGATGTTGATGAAGAAGTTCTGCTTGCCACTATGGAGAATAAAACGAAGATTTCGATGGAAGAGTTTGCTAAGAATTTGAAAATCGATATCTTAACTGTATTTCAACATTTAAAGAGACTTGAGTACAAGAAATACCAAATTGAAACGGTGTCATTTTCCTACATGACAACGCAAGACTGCATGTTGCAAAACAGATTTTGCAGAAGCTTAAAGATTTGAAATGAGAAATCCTCCAGAACTCACCGTTTTCTCTGGACTTAGTTTCTTTAGATTTCCATTTGTTCTTGTCTATACAAAACAATTTAAACGACAAAAGAGTTGACTCTGTACAGTCAATCGAAAACTACTTTACAACCATTTTCCCCCCAAAAAAGAAGAGCAAGTTTCTAAAAAAATTGGCAACAACAAACTATTAAAACAATAAAAGACAGTTCTTAAAAAAACCAATGGAGACGACGTAATTCAATAATGAATGCTTTTTTGGGTATGTACAATCCTGTTTTTAATTTGCTAATCGGACACAGACATTTGCAATAATCTATTATTATTATTATTATTATTATAAACACTTAAGAAAGAGTGCGATATGAGAAAAGAGGGAAAGAAAAGAAAAAGAAAGAAAAGAAAGAAGAGAGAAAGGAAAGAAAAGAAGCAGAAAAGAAAAGGAAAAAGAAACAAAAGAAGTAAAGAAAAGAAGAAAAGAAGAAGAAAAGAAAAACGGAAGAAAAGAGGAGAAGAAGAAAATAGAAGAAAAGCAGAAAGGAAAAGAAAAAAAAAGAAGCAGAAAATAAAAGAAAACGAAAAGAGAAGGAAATAAAAGGAGGAAGGAAGGAGAAGAAGAAAAGCAGAAAAGAAAAAAAAAAAAAAAAAAAAAAGAAAAACGAAGAAAAAGAAAAAAAAAAAGAAAAGAAGGAAAAAAAAAAAAAAAAAGAAAGAAGGAAGGAAAAAAAGAAGAAAAGAAAAGAAGGAGGAAATTCTAAAAAAAAGAAAAAAAAAGAGAAGAAGAAAAGAAAAAAAAGGAGGAAAGAGAAAAAAAAAAGAAGGAAAAGAGAAGAAGAAAAGAAAAGAAAGAAAGAAAAGAAAAGAAAAAAAAAGAAAAAAAAGAAAAAAAGAAAAGAAGGAGGAAAGAAAAGAAGAAAAGAAAAGAAGGAGGAAAGAAGAAGAAAAAAGGAAAGAAAGAGAAGAAGAAAAGAAAAAAAGGAAAAAAGAAAAAAGGAAAGAAAGAAGAAGGAAAGAGAAAAGAAAAAGAAGGAAAAAAAGAAGAAAGAAAAGAAGGAGGAAAGAGAAGAAGAAAAGAAAAGAAGGAGGAAAGAGAAGAAAAGAAAAGAAGGAGGAAAGAGAAGAAGAAAAGAAGGAGGAAAGAGAAGAAGAAAAGAAAAGAAGGAGGAAAGTGAAGAAGAAAAGGAGGAAAGAGAAGAAGAAAAGAAAAGAAGGCGGAAAGATAAGAAGAAAAGAAAAGAAGGAGGAAAGAGAAGAAGAAAAGAAGGAGGAAAGAGAAGAAGAAAAGAAAAGAAGGAGGAAAGTGAAGAAGAAAAGAATAATGAAGAAAAAGAAGAAGAAAAGAAAAGAAAGAGAAGAAAAGAAAAAATGGAAGAAAAGCAGAAAAGATGAGAAGAAAAGAAAAAAAAGAAGAAAAAAGAAGTGGAAAAGAAAAGAAAGATAAAAGAATCAAAAAAGAAAAAGAAGAAAAAAAGAAGAATAGAAAAGAAGAAATTTGGTCATTAATTTAAGAAGGAGATACAAATGAAAAGATTTGAAAGAAACATTTTCCATTTCATTAAAACAAACCACAAACGCGTCTATTCTCCCAAATTTGTTTCTATCATTCTTCTCTCAGTGAAACCAAGTAGCGTTCTTTCCACGCAATCAAAACAAAATGACTATTATTTATGAGGAGACAATGAACATGTCTATCTTCCATTCTTTCTTTTTTTTCTTCTTTCCTTCTTTTTCTCACTGAAACCAGGGTAGTGTGTTTTCCCCCTCTTTCCATTCGATCAAAGCGGAATAGGCCATTATTTATGGGGTATTGGCAGGGCGTAAAGGCCGTGCCAACTAACGAAACGAAGGACAAGCAGAATTATAATGAGATAGGTGCGTGCTAGGATCTTGTTGGCAGCATTTGATCTTGAGCGTTGAATTCCTCTCCTATTTTCCTGTTTCAACTCAGATCACCGCATTGAATTTTATGAGCGGTGACTTGCGAAGAATCTGATATTTCTCTCTTGAGATTAAGTGACAACAAGTCTCTAAAAACTCTTTCGGTCTTCTCAGGATTTTCATTGGTTAAGGGTGGGGAACATAGGTTCTCAGATTAACTGATTGGATTAGACATGAAAATATTACACACGTTCTACTGTGTAGAAAACTTAGTGAGGACATCAAAAGGGATGACACATCTATCTATCTATCTATCTATCTATCTATCTATCTATCTATGTCAGTCTGTTCATATTTGTCTCTCTCTCTCTCTCTCACTCTTTCTCTCTCTCTTTTCTCACGCACGCGCGTTGTCTATTTCCCTCTGTTCATACCTATCTATCTATCTCTCTATCTATATCCCTCTGTTCATATCTATCTATCTATCTATCTATCTATCTATGTCAGTCTGTTCATATTTGTCTCTCTCTTTCATTCTCTCTCTCTCCTTTCTCTCTCGCACGCACGTTGTCTATGTCCCTCTGTTCATATCTATCTATCTATCTATGTAAGTCTGTTCATATTTGTCTCTCTCTCTCTCTCATTCTCTCTCTCTTTTCTCATGCACGCGCGTTGTCTATTTCCCTCTGTTCATACCTCTCTATCTATCTATATCCCTCTGTTCATATATATATATCTATCTATCTATGGTAGTCTGTACATATTTGTCTCTCTCTTTCATTCTCTCTCTCTTTCTCTCACGCACGAGCGTTTTCTATCTCCCTCTGTTCATGTCTATCTATCTATCTATCTATCTATCTATCTATCTATCTCCATACTGTTACGATTTATTTCATCTCTATCATTCTCTCTTTACTATCTTTCTATCTCCCACCCCTTTCTCCTCCATATATATATATATATATATATATATATATATATATATATGAAAGTGGACATTGAAGTCAGCACCCAGCAGATGTTGACGTCCATTTTTACAGTTACATAGGCTCTATCCCTGATATTGAGCACTTTAATATAGCATACCTTGAGAACTATATTTTTATCATATATATATATATATATATATATATATATATATATTCTGTCCGCATCGATGACGTGTGTGAAAAGTGCAAAACGAAAATATGTGCAGCGCATCGAAGGAGAGGCCTTGGCGAATCGGCCACGGCAAACCTCTGGCATTTTGTCAAAGTGACCAGCCGTCCGTTAGTGAGTTTGTCATCGCCAGGAAATCCGTGATCGCTCGTCCTTGTCATTTGCTCAAACGTGTGTAA